ACTACTGATGCAGGTACGAATTGGTCGCTTCTTGAAGATGTTGCGTTGTGCACTAGCTGGGTTGAAGTTACTCATAATTCCCTTACTGGTAATGAGATGCAGTTGCGAGAAATGTGGAGATTAATTCATACCAAATTTCTTGAGCAAATAGGTGGGAAAAGAATCAAAGAATCGATGTCCAATTGTTGGAAAATACTTTGCCATTCCTTTAGTACGTGGAGAGATGCCTTGACACAAGCTAATAGTAATGTTCGAAGTGGGGCAAATTATGCGGATGAGGTAAGAATATATTATAATTATTTGTTTGTATTATTATCTTGTTACCTAATTTGATTATAATTATTTGTTTGTAATATTTATTTGTTACCTAATTTCATTATTATTATTTGTTTGTATTATTTATTTGTGACCTAATTTCATTAATATTATTTGTTTGTATTATTTATTTGTGACCTAATAATTTCATTAGTATTATTTGTTTGTATTATTTATTTGTTACCTAATAATTTCATTATTATTATTTGTTTGTATTATTTATTTGTTACCTAATAATAATTTCATTATTATTATTTGTTGGTATTATTTATTTGTTACCTAATAATTTCATTATTATTCATTTGTTTGTATTATTTATTTGTTACCTAATAATTTCATTATTATTATTTGTTTGTATTATTTATTTGTTACCTAATAATTTCATTATTATTATTATTTGTTTGTATTATTTATTTGTTACCTAGTAATTTCATTATTATTATTTGTTTGTATTATTTATTAGTTACCTAATAATTTCTTTATTATTATTTGTTTGTATTATTTATTTGTTACCTAATAATTTCATTATTATTCATTTGTAGCAACTTCAAGCATAAGCATGGTATGCTGCCAAAATCAAATCAAGAAACAAATCATTTCACCGGTGGGAATGTTGGAATATTGTTAAAGATTGTCCTAAATTCAAAGTTGTGCCTGTTGGTCCAGAAGTATGCATGAACAGCACCCCTCTACACAACACCTTTGTACACAGCACCTCTCCACACTCTACACCCGATCATGGCTCCCATGTTGATGAAGAAGATGGAGAAGAAGTGCCTGAAACGTCCAATAATTGTTTGTTTTTATAAAATGACACGTGGGGCAACGAAAACGATTTAAAAAATCTTATCAGAAATTACAAATAATTTTATTTTGTATTATTTAAACAAACAAAAAAACTAATATTTTATTGTCTATTGCCAGGGAGGAGGGCTCCAAGTGTGGAGATGCAAATGACAATTAATGTTCATTAATGGCAGTTACTATTCATTAAAGGCAGTTACTATTCAAAATGGTGGATTTAATAGTGGATTGACAGAAGGGAGGGCTCCATGTGTGGAGTTGCTCTTAAAGAGAGAGCCTTCGCTTGCAGATAGATCAAAGGGGAAGAATTATCAGTTTCACAAAGGTGACAAGGGAAAGGGAATGGAAATCAACAACATCAAATGGGGAGACGATTTGCCACAATTGACCTAGAAATTGAGAAAAGGGGAAGAATGAAAAGTTGAAAAATGCCCGGCTCATCTAAATTGGGGTACCCGACATTGAAGCACCACTCCTTACCGTCATACGTGATTAGGGATGGGCAAAATATTCACATACGTTTATTTAAATTTCATAATTATAGTTATTGGTAATTATTTAGATAAATAAATAGTTATGGGTATAATCGTTCATTTGTAAAACTTAAATAAACAATTATAGCTATTATCCGCTGTTATGACCGATATCAATTTATTTATTTATTTTATATATGTAAAATTAAAAATAAATAAATAAAAACCCTTAAATTGTTCAATAAACATCTTAAATTTTTACCAAATTAACATATGTATATGTAAATGGTATTAAATGATCTGTTCCTTTTTGATATTGAAAACCCGAAACCTCCATTAAATTTTTTTTGAGAGAAAGACCTATTAAAATTTTTACGTATTAAAAGTTAACGAAAGTCTATAAAAAAAAAAAACAAATGATATACACTAGCCCGGCAGCCCAGTTGTGTTTTGGATTAGGATTGTGGGCGCAAATCGGAAATCGAATGAAGAAGAAGAACAACTTGTGGTTAGGTTTATCGGTTTGAAGATATTGAATGGAATGCATTTTCCATCTTGAGGCTATTGATTGGTTTTAATTTCGTCCGTAAACTATTATTTCAATTTTCAGAATGGTAAAAGATTTGAAGATTGAGATACCGAAATGCATTTTAAATGTTTCTATAACAATGTTGAATTGTCAGAAAATTATGACAAATTTCTTTTTGTTACAGTCCTATTAGATTAGAAATGTGATTTTGTAAATCTTAGTAGATATGTAAATGTATCTTATATTCTTATTAGGAGTTGATTACCTATTAAATGTTTTAATCCTAAATGGAAAGATTTTTATCTATCCTACTACTATAAATAAAGGCACAATGGGGTGAAATAAAACACATCTCACAATTACACATCTCTCTCTTCTTATCTCTCTATGCCGCACCCTCTCTCTATGGCCTCCATAATCGTTCAATAAATTATACCTACAACACGTTATTGTCACACTCTTGACGCTGCGCTAAAGAGAATTTATTCTTCAATCAGAGGAGTATTAAGTTTTAATCATTTTTTTATGATTAATTTATTATTTTATTGAATTGATTTACATGCAATTAATTCAAGGGAACTTTAATGAAAAGGGCTTAGGCTAATTTTATTTTAATAAAAAATCATGCTATAACTTTATTTAATGAAAAAGACTTAAATTTTAATGAAAACCCCTTAAATTTTAATAAAAATGACAAAAGAACTTAAATTTTAATGAAAAAGACATAATTTTAATATTAAAAAAAATTTTTAAAAAATCTGACGCGCGGACCCACAGGTCCTGACACAAACTGTTTATGAAACTTTTTACACTGTTTATAAAACTTACGACACTATTTGTGAAACTTACCACATTGTTTATGAAAACTTATGACATTGTTTATGAAACTTACTATCCTATTTATGAAACTTATTACACTGTTTATGAACACATTTATATATAAACACATATAAATATGTTTATATATGTGAAACTAGCATAATCAACAAGATGGCATGCACTTGCTGTGTCTTTGAAGCTTTCTCCTACATTCCTCAATCTACGTAAACCATGAAACTTGTTACTGGTTATTTTTCCTCTTGGTTTTGACCACTCTGTTATTAAACTCTTGCAGCAGACATCTTGTTTATGAACTTTTGTAGGGCTATTTATGATCTTATGTTAAGTTGCGTAGGGCTATTTTCTCGATTGGGCCTCCATATGAGTTTTTCGTGAAATTGTACTCGAGTTCAATACTACTCATCTTCAATTAGGAAGAAAATGAATGCTATGGTGTTCAGATTACTCTGGCACTGATGATTTTGATGTACTTGCATAGAGAACCAGTGTTTGGCCAATTACCTATAGGCCATAAACATGATTCTAATCCATTTAATCATGATGACGTTACTCTGGACCCTGCGGGACTATCGTCAACAAATTGGACGATGAAGGAAAGTCAAATGCAGAAGATGGTACCTCGAAATTTAAATTATAATGGTAATAGAATTTTTTTGCAGAATTCTTGATATCTGCGTCACTACATGCAAGAGTGACGCAGGAGCAACTAAAAGAAATTAATTCATGTTGATATATGTTAGAATCTGTGATGATGGTGGTAGAATTTTTAAAAGGAATGAATGAACTTGGACAGAGCATATTACAAAGAAAAGGGACTGGGTGTGGGTGTTGCACGCGTTGGGCTATGTTTTTTTGTTTTTGTTTTTCTTCTTCTTTTCTTGTCCTTATCATTAAATAAAGTTTTTAAATGATTTTTGGTTAAAATGCAAAGTTTTCAAGTCCTTTTAATTAGTTTTCCTTTAATTGAATTTAATTTTTCTGTGTTGAACGTGATACAACGCATTGTAGATGCAATTTTGACTTTTCGAGAAGGATCTTCTACAAAATTCAAAGGCTTTTGTTGTTTTCTGTCAATCAGGTACGCTTAAAATAAAGTAAGATATTTGAAACGACCTTGAAGTATGAAAACATTCCCTATGATGCATGAACCCCCTACATTTATATTTACCTTCCGATATATATATATATATATATATTTGTTTCATGCATTACGTAATTTTTGCTATGTGGAATATGTGAGTCAAAGAATCGAAAAAAAAAAAAGAAGCAAATCTAGGGTTTGTATAACCCTACCTATGTTGAAAAAAGAAAGAAAAAAAGGTTTTTGGCACTGTGCGGCACCACCGCCGCAACACCCACCGTGACTTGCATGGACCACCACTAGCCTGAAGCCCAGTTGAGTGGATCACACGGCAGCACCGTTTAGGTTTGCTGCACTGATTCAGACAACCTAGGCCTTCGGCCTACTTAGCTCTCTAAGGCCTGAAGTCCCTTAAGCCCAACCAAAAAAAAAAAAGAAAAAAAAATCTGCAGATTTCTTTTTCTTTTTGGCCCGTTGTCCCATACCTGCCCGAAGTAGTGTGTAGCCCATTGGGCTATGTCATATGGCCCGGTCCACTTCCCGCATCACAAGTCGCTAGCCCGTGCGGCTGGGCTCCCATGCGAACCCATAGGCTAGCAAACATGTTGAAGCCTAAACCCGTGCCACCCCTTTCAAGCCAACCTTCAACAGCTGGGCCTATCCCCTGACCTGTGGCCTGCAGCCCACCCCTGAGCACCCTTTTTGCTCACAACACCCAACCCAAATATTTTTGGACTATGTTTTTGACCCGATAATATTATTTTTGCTTCTACGATCTACTCCGAACGGTCCCGATCTATTGAATTAATTAAAAGTGACATGCAATCCATTAATCTGATAATGAATCCAAAATTATTGACCTGAATATCACTTTTGGACATTAACGATTCAATAATTTATTTCTCTTCTTTGAACTGTTGTCACACTCCAAATTCGAAAATAAGAATAATAATCGAATTAGGGTGTGAATAGACTTGAAAATAAATTAAAATATTACAACGAGAGTATGATGGAACCAGAGCCAACTAAAAGTTCACTTAGACCTGTTTATTTAATACATCATGAGTTTAAAGAGTTCAACTCTTACAAACACACTTGAAAAACTAGAACACTTTATTTAAAGTACAACTAGGAAACCAACACACACATAGGATATGTTTATTCATATAGAGACAGGTCATCATCTTGTTCCTTCATACTGGTACCTGCAATAGCTAATGGGGTGTGAGCATTTCATGCTCAGTAGGAACCATATGTCCTTCAAGTTCATTTACCACAATTAATCAAAGTATCATACCTCAAACAATACGGTAAAAAATTTAAATAATAAGACAGAGAAGTACACATGAACTCACTCCCTTCTAATTCCGCTATCTTATATTTATGGCATCTAAACCTGCACGTCCCATACCATGCTTATACCTCTTGGTTCCGAATACCATAAAATATAAATTAACTCCCATTCCTCCCTTAACCCCTAATTTTATTGGCAATTTCAGTTTCATTAACATGGGCCCTTCACCCAACGCCCAACTATATGTTCAAGCCCTTCGCCCTACGCTTGAACATATATAAGTTTTCAACACTTTGCTTAATCAAGTTTACACAACCCAACACTTAACTCTGTAACATGTAATGCAGCACGAGCATTTCAATTTAACAAACATAATTGTAACCCTCTACGTAGTTAGTCCAACAATTTTACATAACTCAACCATTCATCAAAACATAACAACATTTAACATAGTCAATATATAATACACCGAAAAAGAAACCATTAACCCTAAACACAACCATGACAATCAATTGATTCTATTTCACCCAAGCATTTCATTACTATTGTATTAGATATAATTACTAATATTACAAAGATTAACCATGATATAGATCTATCATCGGGAAATAGAGCCCCTATCTCTTGTCCAGCTAACTATAATACCTCTCTAAGCCTCCGAAGTGTCCGGAGTCACTCCCAGGCCTAACATCACATAAAAAAAATAGTAAAAGTTAGCATAAAACTGGAATGAAAATTTCTATTTCAGCCTAACAAAGATTTACCCAAATATACCCATCACAACCCCGTGAAAAACCAAGCAAGTCCCCATATTGTAACCCTATTTTCATCACTCAAAACTCCAGAAGGAAATAATCAAGCCCCAAAGTCGAGTTCACAACCAGTTTTTCTGCAGAAAATCTGCAGATTTCCAGATTTTTTCACATTTTCAAATCATATGTTTCCATAGAAGATCTCAACCAAAATCGATGAAATAAATTGGGCTTTGAACCTTGTCATGTCTAATTTCAAATATATAGAAGACTCTTTAAGAAGATGAAATGGATTGAGAGGAAATAAGAGCCAAAGTGAGGCTCATGAAACTGCTGGTTTCTAGAAAACAAGGTTGCGATGGTAAGAAAAATAGAAAAATTAACAAATTCAAACTAACCTTTTGTACAAATTGAAGAACACACCAACACCCTCTCAGCTTCCCTCTTCCGATTTCCTACTTTTCGCTTTCCAAAACCTCACACTCTCCTTTAATTCTTCAGTGAGAGTTAGAAATACTCCCTCTAAGCCTATCATTACCTCTCCTGATTTAGAATGCTTACTCACAGCCCCTAAACTACCCACATCACCCCAACTTTATGGACAGAATCTGATTCCCTTGGCTCCCCCACCATGTGATGGTTGGGAAGAAGAAGAAGCGTTTGGGATGGCTACACGTTAGCTCATCTTGACTATTTGTTTGGTCTCTTTTTTTTTTTTACTAAAATAATCTTACTCCTATACTATATATATATATATATATATATATATATATATATAATATATATATCTAAGTGTTACAACTGTTCACTTACTTTCGTAGTCCCCGAAGCGCTCACACTTGAGTTCCCGAAGAAACTCAAATCTACTACACTTAGTTGTATAGTGCATTATGTGTTTTTACAGGAACCTCTCTTCTATGAACTAAACGTTCATAAACTAAATTGAACCTGTAGTTTCAAATTTAGTGCCTTTGAAACCCGAAGTTTTCATAAAACAATACACCCATGAAAACCCGACGTTTTTCATAAAACCATGTCTTAGAACTCGAATGTTCTAACTTTGATGCTTATGGATGATTCCTTCTTATAGCACCAATCACAATCTTGTTCCCTCCAATTCAATGGATGGTCGAACCATCACAAGTTTAATTTTCTTGATTTGGACGTTGTCTATTAGAAACCACTTTATGTGGGATACAAGACGTGAATCTCCCATTGACTATTAAAGTAGAAACCATTGCAGCCAACAATGGCATGGAAGAGCTAAATAAGCCTTCGCCATGATCTTCATTCGAAGACTTATGCCTACCTTTTGAACAAGGATTCCATGGCTCTTTGGCTCGCTCCTATGGACCGTCTAATCATGAAAGCTATTGCATGAAGCATACCATGATTACGTCCATGAATGAGTACAATTATGAAGTTTATAAATCCAATTGAATTTTGACTAGATAATACTTTTCTCGTCATTCCTTGTTTCTAACTCGCTCCTGAAGCAACAAGTGTAGAAAGCGGAAGTTTACCAAATTCTCGAATCTAATTACTACAACAAACATATGGTAAAATTAGGGCTTGCCAAGGTATGGCATCATGCCCGAAGCGTGATCCTTGGCACTTAAGACCTAAAACTTCAAGAATAAGGGGTAGTATTCTCAAACCTTAACCCTGCAGAATCTACTTCCGTTTTGATGGAATAGATAATTGGTTATGCACCTGTTCGTGCCCCTACCAATGTTGTTAAGGAGTACCATTCTCGTAGTCGATGTGAAAAATTAATTTTGCTTCACTAAACACCATTGGAAGAGCAGAATTTTAACATGGATGACCTTGTGGCCGAAATCCCCTTAGTAAACCATTCACTTTGTGAACATTTTTACATGTTCTTGGATTCAAGTTTGATGTATGTTTTACTTATGGATAATCTTATTGATATTTTCCTCGAATATAAGTTAATTGAATCATGTTTCTAAACACATGTGACCGATTCAATTAAACACGTGATTAGGTAGGAATGTGGGAAAGTTAGTTGTCTTGATGAATGCGTACTACGCACACTAACTTTACACCTAAATCACATCTCTAACAATGACTTCAGGTTTATCCAACCTGATTAAGAGCATTGGCACTCTCCTCGTTGTATGAATGGTATTGTATCACCATTTAAGGGACCTTAAATTCTCTTTGTCGTTGAGTTTTTAAGGATATTCGAGAGAATAATAATCATTAATGAAACTACTGAAGAAATAGAGTGAAATATCTTTGCACCACCTCCAAAAATGAGCTTGAATCTTTGATTTGGGGCCAATGAGTTGTCTCCCAACTGGGAATACACCATATGTGGCCGGCCTGGAGCTTGGTTATTGAACAGTTTACTTGTTTTAGCATGACCATTTGGGACACTTACGTCGAACAATGATGCTACGACTCATCTCTTTACCCGAAGTAAGGATCTTATGCCTACAAGTACACTTTGCCAAGCCTGCTTATTAGGAAAATTGATTTTCTATATCATTCCTCGCAAAGATACAAAATCACCCAATTTTCACAGTGGATTCAAGGGAATATATGTGGACTAATCCAACCAAAATGTGGACCATATAAATACTTATGATTTTGGTTGATGAATCGACAAACTGGTCACATGTTTGTCCACACACATTGTTGCTAAACCTCCTAGCCGATTAAAGGTTCACCACCTTACTTATCCCTTAAGGTCCAGAAGACTGGATAATGCAGGAGAGTTTATATCGACAATTTTTTATAAAGTATTGCATGTTGTTTTGGGTTTCTAATTAACATTGAGTTCTTATGTTCACCCCAAATAGCCTTGCCTAGTGATCATAAAATGCAATTTAAATGATCGCCCGAATTTTGGTAAAAGTACCAAGATTTCGGTTTCTGCCTAGGGCTATGCAATCTTTTACGTAGTTATGTTGGTTCGCCTTGAGGTTCATTGCCACCCAACCTATATGACATTATAGTTGGTTCCTGGGTACGAACTTGACAATTTTTTGTATTTACACATTTGGGTGTGCATTCCATGTGCCAAGTTGCGCCGCCTCAACGTACTAATATGGGTCCTCAAAAAAGGATGTGTATCTTTTGTCAATCATGATTCTCCTTCACACTAGCTCTCTTCGAACCCTTGCACGCGATCTCTTTACTACTCATTTGCGGGTTGTCACTTTAATGAGATAGTCTTCTCGTCGTTAGGGGGAGATAAGAACGTCAACATTCCTGTAGAACTGCATGAAGTTGCGTGGACGTTGCCCACTACATCTTATCTCGATCCCCATACCACACCAGTGTGATAAGCAAGTGCGATGAATTCTAGTTTTCAGAATGTTGTTCCAGACGCATTCCTCTGATCTAGCTAAAGTGACGATATCATATACCAGCTGTAAACATGCCTACAAGGATAGACGTTCTTAACAGACGTCAAGTCAACATTCCTATAGGGTGTGCCACCCCTGTTGGACGGTTTGGACCCCCTTGTTGGATGGTCTGGTACAACAGCGGATAGCTAATCAATTTGTTATGGCCTGGAGCACGACAGACCATTCGGTTTGTAGAATTCACTTCCCTAAAAGAGGAAGACACGGCACAACAATGAATCTAAACTCGATCGCTGTCTCAAATCATTTCCATCTCATGAGACGAATCCAGATTACTCCCGAGACTTGAAGTTCTTGGTCCAGTATACTAGTTTAGATGAGCTAGATGGAATTGAAATGAGATTATCATCGATGATGTTTTCACTTATATGGTAGCTACTGACATAAATGAAAAACGATGATATCAAACCGTGTTCCATTCATTAAGTGACAACGTAGAACTGATTGGACAACCAAAATTACAATCCAAATCAAATTCCTTACCAAAGTGTGTATTGGACCTGTCATTCCTACACTACCCAAGGTAACCCTATTGTGTTATAAGTGGGAAATGAAGCATTATAAGATGAATGAAATAGTGCAATATGATGCATGCCTTACGACGTAAGGTTTCTTTCAAACGTCATGTGATTGATAACAACATTATGAATATGGTTAGTGTTTCTCCACGGGGATATAGATACGGAGATTTACATGTAAGTTCCTGCAGAATTACATGAACTGGTTCAAATAGTTCCAATACCACGGAACACCTTCTTAACTTGTTTGAGACGTTCACTTAAATCTGACGAATATGGTTTACCTGTCTAAGTGATTATTTGATCAGTCAGGGACATGAATTATGCCTTTGCATGTTAAACTATGAAGTCTTATTCCAAATTGCTAGAGTTACAGTTTATGTCGTTGACACGAATCTCACTAAGACTCTGGAAAAGCTTGAGAAAACTGTATCGCACCTGAAGATGGAATTTGAGATGAATGATCTTAGGAAAACTCGTTTATGCCTTGACCTGAAGTTTAAGCGTTGTTCTGACGGTACCTTGGTCTACCAGTCTAATTACACCCCGAATGTGTTACCTTTGAGTATACCTCTAATCGTCCATACGTTATATGCAAATGAGACCCTTGAAGAGGTTATGGAATCCAAAAATTCCATATCTAAGTTCAACTTTGCGCTTCGTTGTACTTAGCTCATTGCATTTAGACAGGACATCTCATTCGCTGTTGATCTTGGTAAAGATGCAGCACCGCGCCTACATGCAACCACTGAATTGGTATTAAAGATGTACCCTGAAGGTACTACGAGGACAAATCCCAACGCATCTCGAGCGGATCCAACCCCCCTGATCCTCGAAATGATGCTTACCTTGTTGTTATGTTGACTCAGGTTACCTATCAAACTCGCACAAGGCAAAATCCCCAAATGGTTATGTTTTTACCGATAGGGATATCGTAATATCTTGGAGGTCCATGATATGACCTTAGTTGCAAAATCTTCAAATCGTTCCAAGACTCACCTCATTTCACTACGCCACATGTGAGACATGGTTAGGAGTTCTTGTTGAGCATATTCGAAGTATTTGCTGTGTTTTCATCTATCGTTGAGTCCCAACGACGATCTATGAGGAATGTGCCGCATGTATCCACCCGACCAAGCCATAATGCATCAATGAAGTCAACGCCAAGACATATTACGTCTATATCTATATCTACATCAGCAAAGCATCAGGAAATTGAAGTCATGCAAGTCGATCCTAGACAACCTTACCAACCTCTACATGACGTCACTACCGACGTCAACCTTCTAGAAACTTGTCCAAGGAATTGGTATGCCTAACTATCATATGCAATGCTTGTAGTTCTCTTTTGGAAGTTATGTCAAACTCAAGGGGAGTATCCAGAAGTATACTTATTTGATCTTAATGTACCTTTTTTTCCCTACGATTAGGAGCATTTTTCCCACTGGGTTTTTTCTACCTAACTAGGTTTCAACGAGGCACTCATTATGGGCAGATCATACCCTTGTGAGCTCTTCTACTTGCGTCCAAAAGACGTATAGTTTTGACTTAATGCAACTCCTCACTTTTCTCCTTAGATTATGGGTTTTTCTCCCACCTTGGGTTTTACCATAGCGAGGTTTTGTGAGTTTTACCTTTTTATGCATTCTTTCGTTGATTTAAGACTCGCATTTACTCATTGTGTCGACGACTTCATCAACTGAACTTACTTCATCACTGAAGACCTGATGCACCATTTACTTGAGTATTTACACACTCAAGGGGGAGTGTTGCAGTCCTATTAGATTAGGAATGTGATTGTGTAAATCCTAGTAGATATGGGAATGTATTTTATATTTCTATTAGGAGTTGATTACATATTGAATGTTGTAATCCTAAAGGGAAATGTTTTTACCTATCCTACTACTATAAATAAAGGCACAATGGGGTGGAATAGAACACACCTCACAATTACACATCTCTCTCTATGCCGCACCCTCTCTCTGTGGCCTCTATAATTATTCAGTAAATTATACCTGCAACACTTTTTCAAATTTCAACTTGTTGAAAAAAGAATAAACGGGTAAAAGAAAAAGATAAACTAGTTAAAAACGGGTAAATGAGTAAACAAGTATGCGGTTATGGTTAAACGGATATGCGATCATAGTTAAATGGGTACGCGGTTATGAGTACGGTTAACTGTTTATAAACGGTTATGGATATGTGTATAACCCTTTATGTAATTACCCAATGGGTAAACGGTTATACGGGTAAGGACTTAAACAGTTATGGGTAAATAACCGCAGTTACTCACCCACCATAACCGTTGCCCAGTAACATGATGAATTGATACAAAAGAAAATATATGAGGACCCATTTAATACATGGATGGTGAATGATTATCATTTTTCCTTACGGTTACATGTCATTTGATACAAAAGAAAAGTTCATTGAGAAGATTTTATGTGCTGAAGTTTACAGTGTTTTTATTAGGCTGTAATATGCGTGGAATAATAAAATTGAGAAGATTATAGTGGAGTTGGGTTCTACACTTACAGTACAATTGATTTTAAATGCAAAAGTGGATAGTCATTCTATGTGTAGTTTATTATTAAATTGTCGTGCTCTTACGCACTATAGTTGATTTTGTGAAATTCGACATTTTTACTATGAAAAGAATTTCAGTGATGATGATGTTGCTCGTTTGTGCTTGTCATACAGTTTAGGTCTTGTCTTATTGTAACTTCTTCTTTCTTGTCATCAGTTGCTAGTTACAGATATAGCTAGATTCTTGTAGCCTTGTGATATTCTTATGTAATCTTTTCTTTTCTTTTCTTTTTCAAACTTGTTCCTCATTGTCAACCCTAAAAATGTTAATTAACTTGTTTTTTTGGTCGTGAATGGCCAAAAAAAGACAAACACAAATATTAAATAACAAAACAAGATCGTACTTATATCAAAAGTTAGGGCTGGTTCGGTATGGGATACTGAACTGAAAATGGCATATCAAGTACCCAATCGACTATTTTCGGAACAAAAATCTGACGACCAATCCTAAACCAAAATTTTGGTATTTCCGAAGTTCGGGATTCTTGGAATATTTTCTGTATTTCGTGATTTCCCAAAACCGAACTTGCATTAAAACCCCAATTTAAAATCAGAGACAGTGAGTGAATCAATGAAGATTGAAGGTCGAGAGAGAAAGACAGAGTGAAGAGATAGTCAGACCTGCATCTTCCTCCTGACCCGAGCCTCCAATTCGAAACCCTAAGCCCCAATTTGAAACCCTAACTTTAATTTGAAACCTCACACACACAGAGAATCGCTGGAGAGAATCGAAAGTGGGGATGAAGCAGTAAGGTGTGGTGGTGGTCGGAGTGGAGAGAGTTGGTCAAAGTCGGATTGTGAGAGGATGGGTGGGTGGGTGGCCTTTGAGCTTCGAACTCGAGTAGAGGCAAAAAGAGTCTAAGACTTTGATGAAGGCAAAGATGGGAGACAGTGAGATAGGAGAGATTTTGTCTAAAGAGTGTGAGTCTTTAGATAGCACCCATATGTTTTTCTGCACACTTTACTTATTTTATAAGGAAAATTAATGAAAATGGTTTGGAAACTTTGAGTTTTAATGATAAGGACAAAATAAAGGGTAAGGTGAATAGTATCAGGATTGACTTTTTAGTGTAAAAATGTGGTTTTTCGTTAAAGTGAACAATACAAGTGCTTTTCGTTAAAGTTCCCTATTTTATAATTATATAATAGGCCATTATAGATATGTTTGCTTGATAGAAATTTAGACAGCACACAACCATCATGTGCTTTTTCTGCACACTTTGCTTATTTTAATAATATATTATAAGCCCATTACAGATATTCCAACATATATACATATATATAATATATTTATTAAAGTTGTTCGGAACGTGGATATTGAATGATCTCAAGATGTGAGACCGAATCCCATATTAAATAATTCGGGATAGTTTCGATTTCGGTATGATTTGGAGTTTTCGGTATTTTTCTTCCACCCTAGCAAAAGTGTTCCCTAAAAAATTTACCAGGCAAAGGAACGTGGTAGCAGCTCATTCACTTGGAAAGAGAGCTTTTGTTTTAAGATGGTTAAGCCTCACTTCGATCATCCTTATTTAAAAAGTTGTAGCCGCTAAACGGCTTCCAAAAGTATATTACACCATCTTCAAAGAAAATATAAAATTATAAAAGTCAAATTACAATTAATGACTAATGTGGCAATTTGAAGTTTTATGTTAAATTTTGTACTTCTCTAACCAACTTGTCAAATGTTATTTTATTATTTAAACAAAGCTTTAAATGATTGCAATTATTAAAAAAAATTATTTGTTGAAATGCTTGTAGAATAAGGGATAGATGGACTTCCTATGGGAGGTGCTTGAGACCAAAGCAGAAATCGATTGATTGGTGTGATCCACAATGCATAAATCAACCACATCTAGGTTCCATGGAATAAAAAAAAACCCCAGAAAAACCCACTGCATCAATTATGAAGCTACCAGAAAAGCCCAAAGCCTTGACAACGTCCAATGCTTTGGATACACTAATTCTAGAATCAGAAAGAACCAAAACATCAAGGGCATGAATTCCTTTTAAGTCATTAACAAGGGACTCACTCTCACATTCCATGCTAATAGCTTTAAGCTAGAAGCAAAGGCGCCAAAGAACTCGTATCTATTACCTCTTCCAACAATTGCTCTCTTCCTAAGATCTCGTTGCCTTTTTTTAGGGTACCTCCTCACATTGACCGAACCAATAAAGAATGCCAATGCAAGACGAGCCCACCATTAAAATGAACTAAAAATAAATTTAACATTGATGTCAAATGTAACTCCAAATCACAAAGCCTTTAAATTCAGTCGCAAATAACACTTCAGTTGGAGAAACTTTTGATGTCAAATATGCACAATTGCATTCCACCTAGGATTTTGACATCTCCTTTGGAGTTGCTCTTAAACCTCACTCGGTTAGGCTGTTATCATACCATCTCAAATTCATTATTTTTAGTAGAAGTAGTAAAATAATCCATGGGTTGTTAATTAATATCCATTAAGATTTATTTAGTATGATTTCACCTTACACCATCATCATCACTACAAATCTTAACTTTATATTATGGTGATATCAAATAAAAAGGGTCTTAACCGGTACCCATTTATAATCCAATGGATTGATTTGCCACCTCTAATTTGTAGGATGCATTGAGTTAGTCCTCACGCATATCATCATATAAAAAAGAATAAGTAAAAATTAGGATCTATCCCTTATGTTTTTTTATTTCATTGATTGAAATCTTATGTTTTTTTTTTTAATTTTTGATCAAGTTCCTTCGATTTTTATCCACATCATTCTTTTAATAATAAAATATTTGCATGTTAGCATTTTTAATCCAAACTACATATTAACAAACCTCTCTTTGTCAACCAAAAGAAGTTAAAAAGACAATTTAATCTTCTATCACAAAATAAAATCAAGGGTAGTAAATTAATTTTGCGCAACCTAAATTTGCCATTTTTTTAAAAACCTTACCCACAAGTGATGCTAACATATCTCTTAGGTAAATAATAAAAATAAAAATCTATTCCCCTAACTTATGCTAGTGTTTATAATTAAAGTTATTTAACCATTTTCAAATAGATCCATTCTATTGTTAGAAACATTGCATATATATCAATAAATTTTATATAATATTTCTATTTTTAATTTGTAACCATTTTTTTAATATGTACCAATTTTCTTTTTAGTTTTAACAAGAAATTATGTCTGCGCGTTGCAGCGAAGTTGAAAATTATATAAAATATTATGCTTAAATATATAAAAATAGTGTTACAAAAGATTAATGACATTTACATTGAAAACGTTGAGTAGATTGTTAAGTCAAAATTTGACCACAGGTTGCCCATGTGGCTTTCGATCGATATGAGTACACTTACATACAAAAAATTATGAAATGTTGTGCTATTTCCTACTATTCAAATCGGTACATAATAGTTATCAGTACTAGAGTTCAAATAACGTTTGATTCTTCAATGTTTCACCCATAAAATTCCAAATCCACAAAAACGCAGAACAAAGAAAAATTACCCATAAAACAGGTGGTGGGGATTCAATTAGACATAATTGAGCTCATCTACACTTGTTTATCAATTGAACAAAAGATACACTATGAATGTAAATGTTGTTTTTAAACTCGGATCGACAGCGTGAAATTACATTCTTAACATGCTTCGGAAATTTTATTTCATTAAGTGATTTCAAAAATTCAACAAATTGAACAAATCAAAACAAACAAAAAAATATGAAAAATTACATTTGGAAGAAGTGGAAGACAAATCTACGTTTTTGGGTGTTTGTGTTTGCCCAAATGAAGGAATAAACATATCATCTCAGGAAACTCGTGCATCCTGTCTACGAAGCTTGATGTGGCTCTGTTTTCCTCAACTTTATCAGTAAACAAATAAACATAGTGAAAAACCCAAAATTACCCAATTGGAATAATGACAACAATTGGACAAACAGAAGAAACAGTAGAGATTCAACAGTTCAGAGTCCACAACCTGAAACTTTTACTGAGTTCGTACAGCTAAAGGAGCAATCAAATTACTAAATTGTAAATAATTTTTTTCACAAAAAACTATCTAATTTTACGAAAAAAAGTATCTAATAGCACATCAATTAATAAACTTGGAATTAACTACCGGATTTTGCAAGACAGCATCAAGATAGATGTGTAAACAATATGGAATCAAATCCCCACCTAAATGGGTTTTTGGAGAACCTGCAATCCTTGAAAATTGTTGTAATTCAAGTCCAATAGTTAGGATGCTTCAAATGGAAGGATTTATCTTACCACCCAGCTAAGTATTACTGTTGTAGAAATCCCAATCAAAGAGGTGGAAATCCTGCTGAAATCTGGGATTAGTGAGGTGAAGTTGAAGGATCTTGATCTATCAAACAACAATTTAAATGGAGATACATCCGATATCTTTGAGAGTTTGTTTGTTTGTAGTTTGGAGAGAATAGAGTCATTGTCGTTGGGGTTTAATAATCTTTCAGGCCATTTTACAGATGATCATGTTAGAAAGTTGAGAAATTTAAACCACCTTTATCTTTCTGGAAGTTCAATATCAGGTCTCATCCCAGTTTAACAGAACTCTTCAAGAAAGTATTAGTCAACTCAAATTGCTGATTGAATTAGATATATCTCGTAATTCATTGAAAGATAATTAAGTTTGATCTAATCTTTTTTTTTGTGATATATATGCATTATCCTTATCGATGTTGTAGACTTATAAACCATAGCTTTGCAGGATACATTTTCAGACATTGTAGGCTTAAGAACCATAGCTTTGCAGGATAAATTTTCAGAAGTCAAGCCTATGCATATGAAAGTAAATCGTTAAAGACATTTTTCCACCAGTGTCTTATGCAAATTTTAGATACGTACTGAGATCTCTAGAACTGACAGATGCTTGGGGGTGTGATTCACTTTTTCATTGATAGAATATCATAAACCACAATTTGATTCCAATTAACGAAGAAGGGAAAACAATCAATAACGAGTATTATACCTATAATAGAGTGACTTATGCACCTTCCTCTCCAGCTCATTCATGCACCTCACAATTTGATTCAATTCTATAACGAAGAAGGGAAAAATTTAACACACGTACACAAGTAAAAATGAAATTTAAAAATCTTTCCTTTCCCAACACAAACTGCTACCACAAAACTCTGTTAGATAGACAAAAAATATTCACAAAATTTATGTAAATGTAATTTCTAACAAATACTTTGGAGAATAGAAAGCCTTCAGACCTCATTTTATTGAAGTGCTTCAATGCGCTGTCCGAAAGTGAAATTGCAGGTGCAAGCCCCTCGGTTTTTGGCACCGCTGAAACACAGACAAATCTCAGTACCATTGGATTATGAACTAAATGTAAAAATCGTTGGAGAAGAAAATGAACATGTTTAATCACAGGACTCAACACAACAATCTCAAACTACACTCAAATGCTGCTCCTCAGCTTCATAGATGCGAATAAGTCTTCCAAATAGACCCAAATCCCAGACTCAGACACAAAAAAAGAGACAAATATTTGGAATTTTTTTAGACAACAACGCTCTCAGAGAAGGACAAGGATTGTCTGCCCTCCACTTCCGGTGCCCTCCATGTGCCCTCCTGTTGTGTGTGGTCACGGTTAAGCCACGTCAACATTTTATATTGTTTTTTTATAGATATAATAAGACAAAAATAAATAGTAATATAAAATGTTGACGTGGCTTAACCGTGACCACACAAACAGGAGGGCACCGGAAGTGGAGGGCAAACAATCCTTGTCCAAGTAAGACAACAACGTTGTGGGACAATGACTCTCACAAAAGGAAAACACCATTTGAAAGTGAGAGAGCACAAAGCAAAAACAAAAGCAGAAGTTAAAATGAAAGAAGATGCAATCGAAAACGTATGAGAGTGAGAGAACACGAAGCGGAAAGCTACAGAGCAAATTTGCGAAAGAGAAATCGGCGTTCTTGAGGCCGAATGGCATGATGACCCATTCATATGTGCCGAGTGCCCCCGGACAACGAAAAGCAGTCATATGGACATTGGCCTTGGTGATGAAAATCTGGTTATAACTAGCATGTCCATCCATAAAGGATAAGATCTCATGGTTTGCTGTTGCATCGATAAACAAATCTGAAATTGGCATTGGATATTCATCTTTGGGAGTTACCAAATTCAAATTGTGGAAATCAATACAGATACTTAGGGCACCACTTTTCTTTAATACTGGGATGATGTTCACCAACTATTCAACGTATCGAGCTGTCCAAATAAACCCAGCCTTTAAAATTCGAACGAGTTCATCCTTTATGCCAAGTTGTACTTCGGTGGAGAATCGTCGAGGTGGTTGGCGGAATGGTTTGCACCCAGGTTTGATGCGTAATTCATGTTCAACCAGCGTTCAATCCAATCCAGGCATCTCATGGTAACTCCAAGCAAAACAATCCTTAAATTCTTTAAGCAAATTACAAAGCTCAATTTTTACATGTTGGGGGTAAAGAAGTACTAATGAACAAGGGTCGTGGGTCTTCGGCCATTCCAACATTTATTTCCTCTAAAGGATCCTTGACTTGAGGTTGAGTATCCTTGAGCTCAGCTGGTGCAGCCTGAACTTTGTCTAGTGAAAGCACTAGGTTGTTGTCTCATTTGGCCTTCGACTAAGTTGATGCCCGAATTTGGTTGGTTGAAGATAACATACCAATGGGCCAGCAGTCGTTCCATGGTAGATGAAATCGCGGCCCCTTGTCTATCCTGGTGGTCTTCAGACATCAGTATCTGCGATCAGATTGGCCAATCCAAGCCTTGCCAAATCCTGATGGACAGTCTCGGCGTCTACCTCGATTGCTTTCTGTACCAAAATTCTAGTCGGTCATCCTTCCTCGTTCAAACCCTGTACGGTAATATAGCTGACGTGATCATCGTAATACTGTGCTTAAATCATATTGGCTTCAAAAGGTTGATTGTCAGCCGGATGCACCACAACGGATTTACCGTCCCAAAAAATGAGAACCTGATATAGTGAAGAGGGAATGCAGTTTGTTTGGTGGATCTAATCCCGACAGAGCAATGCATTATACTCTGTCTTGGAGTCGACGATAAAGAATGTGGTCATGTGATTACGACCTACAACGCTTACCTCTAAAGGAAGCACTCATTTGGTCTAAGACTTGTCACCAATGAAGCTGCTTATGGTTATTCCTGATGGGATGAGTTCGTCATTAGACCGTCGTAGTGCCTTCATGACGGATACTGGCATGATATTGACCGTAACCCTATAATCGACGAAGATTTTGGAGATTGGATAACCTTCGATGTGAGCCATGACATACAACGACTTCAAATGTTGAAGATTAACCGAAGAAGAGCGGGGAAACAGTATAGTCAGAGCTGCTTTAAGTTTGTCGGCTTTACTCGATTGCTCATCTTCTTCGGTAGCAATGAAATCAACTTGTGTTGCTTTCTCGGCAACTACATCCCCATCCAAGGAATTTGGTTGGGGTGCAGTTGGTTGAAATTCAACAGGTAGAATATGGACCATGCTGATTTCCATATTGTCGAGGGCTGAAGGGCCCATCGGGTCTTGATCGTCGTCCGTTGGGTTATCGAGTACGGTATCATACTTTGGAGCTTCCTTGACCTGATTATCTCTCGCCTCATCGGGTACTTGCTCTTGTGGTGTGTCAACTGAACCTGTTTCATTCTGGCTGTCATCTTCGAGCTCGATCGTTGTTGGGGCTTGGTTTTATCCTTGCAGTGCTTTACGGGCTCGTTCTTCATAGGCGATTCGGGCGTCCCTTGTGTCTAGGTAGGCATCCAAACGCACCACACGATCCTTCTCGTCGATAGTAAGGCCAAAAAGAGATACGACTGAGAAGACTTCGAAATGATGTTGTAAGTACTGAAGTTCTTCGAAAAAGAAATGGAGCTCGGCGATGTCTATGTTCTTGTACGGGTCGACCTCGAAGTCGAGGACCTGAGCTTCAAGTATGTGCTGGAACCTCGCCTTCATTGCTGGGTCGGTAGTTTTTTGAATAATCTGTTCAGCATCAGGGTAAGTGTGCCATGTCAATGGCTTATTACGCCGCTTTGGGTAGGCCTTACAAGTCATTGGCAAAACGTGTCTTGTGAAATTCTCGCATGAACTCCAAGGATTCTCCTAGGAATTGAGGATGTAAATTCCATCGGACTCTTATTAACGGGCTCTTGCTGGGGTAGTAGGGAAGCTTGCTTTCGGTTTCTTGTCTGAAATGCTCAAAGCGAGCTTTCATCTCCCCAGGCCGAATGAGGAGTTTGATGCGCTTCTCAGATTCTTCAATAGTGATTTCAAAGTCGCGATCAATTACCTTTTTCCTTGAAAGTAATTCGGTCATGATTGTTGGGGTTTGTTGATCATTTTCGCTTCCTGCTGCTTCTTTCTACTGCCATTTGGTAGCCGAAGTGGCTTATGCTACTTGTCGTCTAGCCATGCAGTCTATCCGCTGGCGTTGACGTTTCTAACATTTGGATAATGCAGTATACACGCCAGTAGGAGAATTGTAACTATACCAACGTTGGTCGCGTGGCTCAGGTGGCTTGAAGGTTTTCTGATTCACCGATGAACTCAAGCTGCTAGAGTTACGTGAGTAATAATCCTCATTATAAAATGGCGCGTCAAAATCAAGATGCCGTCTAGCTAAAGGGGACCGTCCATTCGTGTTTGAAGGTCAAGCCTATCGAACACCTTCTGGCGCTGACCTCCGCCGAGTTCCTTTGGAGATATTACTGCGGCCTTGGATGGTTGTCGTGATGTCGAAGCTTGAGGTAGTTTTTCCTTTGGTTCGGTTAGAACAACGTATACTTTACAACGACTACACAAAACCATTGGTCCCTTAGCTTCCTCTGCACTGGTGTCTGACATGGATTCGATTATGGTTGGTCCCGAAAACTCTGTAGGTGGCTCATTTGAAAATAGATCAATCTTGAGTCGCGACCGAGAGTTCTACTTTGGGACGTGTTGTATTGGAACAAACTCGGCCTTCCCTTTCCCTTTGTTTTTGGGCAAATAAGCATCTACCATGCCAACTGTCGCCAAAGGAAAATGATCAACATCGACAGTCATCTTTTTCTCAGAAAATTTTAGCTTGCCTTTATCGATCCAACTTTGAATAGCATCACGAAACACAACGCAGTTGTTTGTGGTATGCTTACTCGAATTATGGTATTTACAATACGTCTTTCCTTTCAACTCTTCGGCCTCATAAATGATGTGTTCTGGCCAAAGTTTAATGATCTTTGCCATCAGCAATTGGTCGAAGATTGCATCGGCCTTGGTGATATCGAAAGTGTAAACTTTTGATGTTTTAACTGTTTCTTCAGAGACCGAGAGGGTTTTAGCATCCTTGGAGTTAATGTGAGTCAATGCCTTGCAAACATTTGGTTTATCTAACATTATTTCGGCCGCATCCACACTGACATATTGGGGATCCTCGCCTTCGGCCGATGCGTAGCTCACTGTGGGATTTTTGTAAATCGTTCCCTGGGATTGGGACTTCGAGATCTTTTCCTCTCGGAGAAAATAATCATATTACTCAATGTGTTGGGCCAGTTTGTACATATCTTGGAAGTTTGCTCCTAGGAATTTCTTTTTGTACTCCACGTCTAGCCCATTCAAAGCCAGCCTAACAAATCTGACTTCAGGTAGAAGGACTCGGTACCAATTCCTGGCCGATTTAAACCTTGTAAGGTAATCTATTAGTGACTCATCAGACGCTTGAGCCATCCTAGCCAATGAAGAGATTGACATTTCCATCCCTGGCCGATAAAATTCTCATGGAATTTCTTAACCAGTTCCTCCCAACTATGGATGGAATTAGGTACGAGGTTGATGTACCATACGAATGCTGAGCCCGTCAACGAAAAGTTGAATAGTCATAGTTTATGGAAGTCACTATTAACATCTCCGCATTGCGCAGTGAATCGGGCCACATTGTTCTAACGAGGACGGGGACGATTCTCCAGCAAAAAGGCTGAAATCTGGGATTTTGAAGCCTTTAGGATATTCGAACTTTTCTACATAAGATGGGTATGGATGGATGAATTTTGGGAACTTTGGCCCTATTTTCAAGGCTGAATCGATCATTCTATGGACCTCGATCATATCGACTGATGTTGCTTCCACTCTCTGGTTGGATCCATCTGATCTACTGCTTGATCCTCCTATTTTTTCCAAATCAATTGTTTTGAGCTGAGTAGATCCTGTTTCGGCATGTATCTGATTACTTTTGAGTGGAAGCTGGCGGGACTGATCAGCATGCCCTCCTTCAAATACTCTGCTAACTAATAATTCGAGTAATTTGGTATGTATCACCATTACTTCGTATTACCTCAAGCAAACTGTTCATTTTTTGGATAACTATTTGTTCAACCTGCCGAGATTGCTCATCAAGTCGTCTTCGAAGAAACGATCTAGTTGGAGGGTCAGAGCCTTCACCACCATCTTTGTATCAATCCTTCACTATCTTTTCAATGAAAACACTTGCGGTTCTGTTGGAGACTTCTGTGTTCCGAGGCTGGGTACCGAGACAAACTTCTTTTTCTCGGTGTGTCACACTTGCAGCCTCAGGTGTCACAGCAACAAGAGGATTTCGTGCATGTGACATTTCTTGTCCAGGACTCTGAACTGGCAGATCAGTCGTTGACTTTCCCATGATTGTTTTCTTTTTAACCGATCGTGTTTCGACGGTCATGAACTTAGTAGTTTTAGCACTCGATCCCACTGGGCGTGCCAAAATGTTGACCCTAAAAACTACCAAACATACGTGGCGCGCAAGCCGAGTAACTAATGAGCTAACTACGTGATGCGAAATATATAAGCACACAAATTAAACCCTATTTGTGACAATTGTAGTAATGATGTAAGTAGGGATCGTTCTAACCGGGGATTAACTAGGGGTGCTAAACACTTGACTCAAATAAATAAAACTAACTTTTAAAACACTAAGACAAACCAAAAGACTCAAAACAAGTTCAAAAGACTCCAAATACTTAAAAGCATAAAATAAGATAGATTTGAACGACTAAGACTTTAACAAAATATGGGGGGGGGAAATTGAGTTGTTTTTGACGAGATTAAATTAAATGGACAGATTATAATTAAGGGCAAAATGTAAATATGAATGCAATGAAAAATATGGATGATGGAATAGCTTAAGGGGTTCTTCTCCACACATGTCACACTTGCAATACAAGATCGATTCTCAGTTGGTCTTTCGATAAATTATGAAACTCAACACCCTAGGTTAATTAGGTCCGCTTAAATTAACCATCAAGTTCTCCTTAAGTTAATGAATTGGATGGGTTTGCGCAACGCAATTCACAACATTCTCCAAAAGTCCTTTACGTGAAAAGCACAATAAAGATACAATCAAAGATCATTAAGCATCATGAAAACTATAAGTGTTGACGAGGCATTCGTTACTATGAAAAGCATGAAACTAGTGCCAAGAATTCATTTAACGTGATTGTTTATAAGCAACCTCCACTACTTGTGAATATAAATTCATAACGATTAGGTGAAACTCACTTATATTCTAGCGTCATATTTATGCATGAAAATTAAGCGTGCACTCTCAATAAACATACATAAATAAGTTATCAATCAAACGGTTAAACAAATTGAATCCACAACTTATGAAATTCCAACCGAAGATAATCAATTCATATTGCAAGCATAAACATAGTTTCGAATCACCCCCTAGCTAAAGGGGGGTTTAGTTCCTCATACTTGCAAAACAAAGATACATAAAATTAGACATTGAAATCAAAGATAGAAAACACCTAGAAACGCTCCAACACTCCCAAGGCTTGGGCTTAGGCACGGCACAAGATGTTCCTTCTCCTTCCTTACTTGCAAGCTGCGGCACTAGAGGTTTTGGACGGTTTTGGGTGGTTTTATGGTGTAGAATGGATGGGGAATGGTATGGAAAGGTTTAGGATTGATGGGTGGTGTGGCTAGGGGTGGTTTTTGGCTAAATTTGGAGAGAAAATCTGTTATGACTTTGATGATATTGGAAGGTGGTATTTATAGGCTTGAGATAGGACCACTCCATTTCCTTTGCATGTGAGCTTATGTGGGTGTGTGTTGGCATGTTTCCTCTTTACATTTACACACACATGCTTCATCATTTCAACCACAACACACACACATTTTCTGCCCTATTTTCCTTTACATTTACACACACATGCTTCATCATTTCAAGCACCAAACACCCACATTTTCAGCCCATGTTTCTCCTTTCCTTTGCATGTGTTGTGCCTTCTCTTCTAGCTGTACATTTCCACTTGCTCCAAAGACAAATGAGTGTAATCATAACCCCATTTGCTGCTGAGTGTTGATGACAAAGCAAAACACAAAACAAGTGCCTTTTATTAGCCAAATCTGCTTAGCCCGTTTCTAAACCTTTCAGTGTTAAAATGCCCATAACTTCTTCTAGAAAAATGATATTAACAATCTGTAACTTGCTCCAGAAAATAGACATCCATAGCTTTCCAAGCATATAAGGCTCATTCTCTCATTCATTCGGAGCTGTTCGTAACATGCTTCCAAAGTCAGCTAATCTGCACAAGCAGTTTTGACGAATTTGTTGGTTGTCCATGTTTCTCTTTTGCACATGCCTTTCTTGCTGTTTTCTTCTTTGCATGTGTGTGTTGTCATCTTTGTTTCTCCTTTGCACATGACATGTGCTGTCCATGTTTAGATCCCCTTTGCATTTGCACACACTTGCTTCATCATTTCAACCACAAAACACACCAAATTCCTTCACCTTTGCCATGAGTTTTGTCTTCACTTTGCATGTGGGCTTCTTTGCATGTGTTTCTCCCTCTCTTTCCTTGAGTTTGCATGTGGGCTTCTTTGCATGTGTTTATCCTTGCAATTACACACACACACTTGCACACACAAAAGCCCAAAACGTCCATCCTCATGTCTCCATGTTTGCACCATCCAATCTTAGCCCAAAAATGCTCCAAAGTGCTCCAAAATGCACCTTCTTGCATCCTTGGCCTAAAGAACCTACAAACACACAAAAATGGCTTAAACTACTAACATAACTAAGAACTAAGAACATAAATGCACGAAAACAAACATACTAAGTCGCATAAATATGCTCCTATCACTACGTCCTTCAGTTGTATGAGGGTGTGCCAACTCGTCGGCCAAGCTTGGCTGAAAAGTAAATATGTTGATGTTGCGTTGAGCGTGATGCTGACTTCTTAATCTTGCGACTGGGATCGAGGAATGAACATGTCTCGGCTTTCGAATTCTAGAGCCATCAAAATGTCGAACTCTAAACCCTACTTGTGAATAACCAATCATAAACAACTCGGCGTTCAATGTGCCGAGCCCAATAATGTGTAACACCTTATTTCGCCGAGAAGGCTAATGAGATGACCTCTACCAATAAGGATTCGAAAATCCTTCTCAGCCGAGACTTGGATAGATAACCAGTCGGCCTCGACGCAGTGCTGTTTATCCAAACTGAAGATGCTTCGCAATCGGCTGATTCTACGGCGGCAGTGCTGTTTATCCAAACTGAAGATATTTGCCGGTTGCCTTCACAGTGCTGTTTATCCAAACTAAAGATGTGTTGGCGGAAAAGAAAATGAAAAATCTCAAGGTTGTTGAGAGGTTTTGCGTAAAGCGAGAGTTTGCGCAGGGTAGTTTGTGTGTGTAGTTGAAGAGGCTGAATGTGTGTACATCCTCTGTATTTATAGGAGCGAACCTACTTCCGGCCAAGTTAGAACCTTACCCGGACTAAGGCTCCTCATCCTGATCTAACTAAGACTCGGCCGATCCTACTTTAATTAGGACTTTGAACACATCTCCACAACGAACTAGATTCTTTTCGTGCTCCTTAATGCCTTTAGCTTTAACACTCCTGGAGGTTTAAGGATTCATTCTTCATCTTTATCCAAATCAATCCTTCTCACAAAGGGACTTGATCGACAAACAACTAGACAACCCCCAGTACCCAATCGGCCCATGATCCCCCTTACTACCACTGGATCAAGAGTCTCGGCCCATTTGCTACCTTCGGCCCAAAACATCGTTTTGGACCCAAACACTATCACAACCTACCCTTTTTTTGTGCTTCGGTAAGTTTTGGGCCCAAACACTATCACAACCTACCCTATTTTTGTGCTTCGGTAAAATCTAGTTGTGTGTCGAGTGAAATTCAGATAACGTTAGAACATGCTTCATTCGCATATGGACATAGGTTGTTAATTTTGTCTTGTATGGTTTTGTTTCTGCTTCGTCGGCCTAAAGTCCTAGTCTGCTAGGTTTCCCTCGCTTTATTTGGCTAGGCAAGATAGTTATCCCTTCTGTTGTATCTGTAGCACTTGTATTTTAACTTCTGGTTTACTGAAATCAAAGATTTAGCATGTTTGTCAAACATGTTGGTCTCTCTACAGTTGGTTTCTGCACAAGTAAAGATCTCCATGTAATATCTGCTCAATTTTTGCTTAATGTTAACAGCCTGATTCGATTTAACTCAATGTCAATTATAAACAATTTTTTTTTTTCAATTGAGAGGTTTCGTTGCAACCCTCCTAACAGATTTCAACAAGAAATGAAAAACAAGCGAAGAAAAAGTTGCAGAACTAACAAAGAGGAAACATTAGGGCTTTGGGGACGTAACAGAGACCAATTGTACCTTTCATTCGGCATTATCTCCATGAACATCTTCTTTATCATCCGAACAGTTACCTCATTTTTTCTAACGATGCTCCAGCGTCACCTCTTCAACTGCAGTAGAGAGTTTTGCATTAATCTTCTCCACTTCATCAAGCTCTTTCATTAATTGCTGGAGAAAAAAAAAATTGTACAAAGATATATCAATTTGTGTAGGAAAAAGGCGAGAATATACTAAAGGATTACCCCCAACTAATTTGATGCACACGTGACCAATAACGGATCAGAAAATGTGGAAGAAGAAAGGTAACACGTCTAACATCAAATTATGATTTCAACACTAGGATGCACTAATAAAGGACAACGAAAGATTTTTTTCATTCTTTTAGTTATTCATATAATCGTTTTAAAAGGAAACATGTTAACCACTGTGAGTTATCCCTATATCACGAACAATACTTGTATTCTGTCTTTCAACCAAATTTTAGATATCAAACTTACCGCAGACGAAAACCATCAATTTCAAAACAAGTTAAAGCATAGAAATCTTCAAGCTTGAAACAAGATTTTAACAAGACACGGCTCTCCATGTTCAGATCTTCATCTTTCTGTGAGTTAAAGTGCATATGAAGCGTAGAATACCCCAAGAAAGAGGAATAATGTGCCAGTAAAAGTGGAAACCAGTCAGCCAATAAGAAATGAACAGTGATGTCGTACCCGTGGTGTCAGTTAGTATAGCTTGCGCAGTTGTCGAAGATGCAAATAGCATCTGCTGCAAACCTTGAATTAGAGTGCACCTAAAACAATTAGCAAAAAAAGTTGGGAGTTTTCCCGCAAAACAAAATGGTGAAGAGAAACACACATTCATCATATATACTTCTATGCAGAAGAGATAACCGAATTCAGTGTTAATGATAAGGCATGTATTTTCCTTTTTTGAAGATTGGGAAGACATGCTAGACCACTGCCATAAAGTCTACCGAATGCCAGACAGGCCCATGATGCCAAATTACATCAAATTCTACCATCAACCATGCATATTTTGAATTTCTCCCTAGAAATACAGGAACAGATGCCAAACTAGTTTGTTTAAGTGAGGTTCTGAACATCATAGTCTATAGAATTGCTTGTCATATCAGGCTATAAGCGTTCCAGCAGGACTTCTTTGCTAACGTAATTAGTGTATCATGGATGTGGATCCATTCAGCCATAGAATTTTCAAAGCGAATGCAGCAAAAAGATTTCAAAGAGCAGGCAATCATGCCTTATGACTACGTGCCATTACTGTCCGTATGAATGCAAACAAGAATACCATACAAAGCTAGGCTCACATGTGATGATGGCTGCAACGATCATCAATAGTATAGGTCAGCCCCCAAGAATAAAAACATAACGGGAACCCCAGAAGATAGGGAAGGATGGAACCATGGAAGGAAAATTTCAATGCTTAACTGGGATAACCTCCAGGGAATAAAGAAAGTATACAAGCAACGTGATTAGTAGGTAGCATGTCCATGATCCTTTCGTCATCCGGGTCCTCTCAATGACTACAACTAGAATCCAACTTTTTTTCTGCAGAAGATTTTGGAAATTTGGATATAACAGTAAATGTAGGAAACTTGAAAACCAAGAACACATACAAACCTCAGATAATAATTTTTCTTCCTTGTGATAAGAATTTGATAATTCTCCAACAAGTTCTGCATGCTTTCTCCTGTACACATAGTAGATACTCCAGTAAAAGAAATGTGAAATGTAGCAGATAAGAAACAATTGAAGTCTTCCACTATACAAAGCATAATAAATTGACAAGTAAAAATGCATTGTACCTGAGGGAATGGAGATCAAGATGGATGTGCGCTTCATCTGATGATACTTGAGATTTAGGTGCCATTAGAATTGCTTGCTGCTGAGCATTCTCAACTTGAGCTTCCACCCATTGTCTTTCACTTGTCCCAAAACTGCACAACATTCAGCAGTAACAGAGTCGGTAGGGATTCCAAATTTACTGACAACAAAAAAAATGCTAGCATGAAAGTTGACAGGAAAAAAGGTTTAACCAGCCATAGATATAGAAATACCACATCTATTCGAGCACCATAAATAGGGGGGGAGAGAGAGAGAGAGATTGATGATGATGGAGGAGATTGAACAGAATACAAATAACTAAAACCGAAAAAATACTATATACCTCTCAAGGGCCAGAGAAGTAAATAAGTAACTACTAGAATATACCCTCTCACTCGGATTACACAAAAGGAATATATCTCGAATTTCCACCATACTATATATCTGTCAGCTTTTTGTACCTTCCTTTTAGATTTTCTTAAAGGAACTTTTGTAGCTTCATTGTATATTTCTTAAAGGAAATAAAAGGATTGAAGTAAATAATAACAACCATTGTTCTAGTTTCTCAAAGAGGATGTAGGAATCTGAATCCAACAAAATAAGTAGGCATCATTCTATCAATTTCTATAAGTTAGAAACTTTCTGAATAGGGGAAAAAGTTACATACATTGAACGAATTCGTTGAAACTCAGAGACACGCTGATGATGTGATTTTTTAAGATCTGCTGCAACAAAAAGGCCAAATAAAAGGCGTCAATATTGCTACTCTATATAAGTTAAAACAGCTAGGTAACTCTAGATTATGGATATTCACTTGCGCAAAGAATCAAAATTTGCATCAAAGTGATGATGACATGAATACATATGGTTGGCATACATATTAAGTTTCTGTACATGATTAAGGCTGTGTATGGAATCACTACTCTACCACACCAGCGAATTGGACAAGTAGTTTATTAGAAAAACAAAAATAATCTTGCAAATCATAAAGTTGCAGCAATGCTGGCTAAAGTTCCGACCTAAGTGAAAGCAACACTGGCTGACGAGTACAACAGAAGCCTGACGAGTAAGCATGTCAAATTGAGAATGCAGATGTCTACGCTGCCTCTGCCAACTGTAAAGCTTCAGCTTTATAGGCCAAAGTTGCATCCCTAAGGAAGGAAAGAAGTCTGTAAGTAGCTGGGGCAGGATACCACAATGCATCATCACTAGGCAAAAAAATGATTATGATTCTGTAATCCAAGAATCAATGGTACATCTAAAGATACAAAATGTCCATATCATACTGAACCTGAAAACTAGGTTTAGTAGATAAAGTGAAGTTAGAACCAACTCGACATGATGTTAAATTATGAACGAGGATAAACTGCAAATCTAACACATGCAAAGAAACTTTAATAAGACCTATTTCACAGTCCATCATCAATGTAATTGCCAGTCATATCTTATACCAGAAAAAACGTGTCATAAAATCTTTAGTCCAGGTGATTCCATCAAGTACAAACAAGAACTTAGCTCGTACCAAAGGACATGCATAAGCCTGAACTCAACCACATCCAGAAACCCTTTCACACCCTGCTTGCCCTCAAACAAATCAAGTCAGAACTTCAATAACCGTCGCACCAAAGTAGTCAGATAGATCCAAAGCAAAAGGTAGCACAAGCAACGCTATTGTATAACGGATACTATGAATACAGGATATCAAATCTTCCACTACAACAACAATCAGGGTGTCAGATGATTAATGAAGAGCATGGCAAGGAATCTTGAGAAGCATAACAAGATGAAGTGCAAGAGTTCAAAAGGCAACTAGCCGACTGATCAAATTACCCGAGCATGGAAAGACAGGAAATGTGCTGCCGAGAATGGCCAACTTCATGAAATGTGGGGCTGTCTACTAATTATTCCTAAAGAGTAAATAATCAGGAGTTGGGGGATGAGAGAACACATGTTTTGTCCGCATCATACATACACAAAAGGCACTATATCATCCACAACTATAATTCAAAGGACTGGCATTTTCTTCAAACATCTAAAATCAGTCAATTTGCTTATATACATCATTTTTGTTTGGTTCGGTTTGATGTTGCTAGAATTTTTGCTTTACCCACGAAAGCTAAAAGCGATATCAACCATATCTGGAGAATTCACAATAAGAACGAAATGTAATAAGCATACCGTGATAAACAGACATCCAATTCCTTTTACCTTCACCAGCTCTGACAACATAATACAACAAGGTGCAGAGGGAATTATGACTAGGAAATCGCCCTGCACCTTGCAGGCTTCCCTTCAAGTATATCATTAAGATGAAGAAGAATGTTACATGATTCACTACCATATAACAGATAAAATCACTAAATTACGTAATCGGTTTAATAAGATAAAAACATTAAATTAGGTAATCGGTTTAATGAGCCCAAACCCTCCATTTCCCAACAGCAATGTAGGTAATGCGCAATCAAATCCGATAAGAAAAGACATCACTGGATTAATTTGAAATTTTAAATAACACGAGTCTGTCAACTGCAAGCAATACATTTACCAACACATAATAAAGAGTCAAACGATTTCCCTGCTACGGGTAGAATCGAACTCACACAGCCCCATGCCGGGGCAGTAGAGCCGCAACAGACGGAATTCCTCAGGCTTCGAAGTGGTGGGAATGAGCCGATACCGAGTCATCACATTCAGGTGGACTTGGATTATCCCTCTGGAGATTTCCTCGATGAGCTCTTCACCTAAGTAGGCACGATCAGTTTGCATTTTGAAATTCAAGGTGGCCGTCTGGTTGGTCTCGCTGGTTAAAAGCAAGGGAGGAGGCAATGACTTGGTAGTCACCATAAAGCTGCCGCCAAGCCAGCGATCGTGCAAGAAGAGCGTGGCCTGCAGACGATCATCAAAGTAGAGGTAGAAGCCGTCCTTGTTGTTGGGGTTTGTGACTACGAGCTTCAGCTTCCATTCAACAGTACACTCGGGCCCGGCCGCGCTGAGTCGGGAAATGGTAATCAACTCGACACTTACCTCCAATGGTGCCGGAAAAGGCGAGTAAGCCCTATAGCAGACCAGGATGAATAACACAATACTTGCAGTAAACAAAGCTAAACTGCTCACGACTAGAAAGGGCCGCTTGCTATAATCGGCCCTCACTGTTGAATAACCATTGAGAACGAACACCGGTGGCTGCATGACGATGAGGAGCCAGGTAGATCGATCAATGCCAGTGGGAGAAAAGATGAACAACACGGGCCGAGGGAAAGATAACTAAAACGATTATACGAGGAATCAATCAGAACCCATTAATAATTTCATAGATGTCGAACCCAAAACAACAAAATCGATCAGAACCCAATAATAACTTCACAATCTACAAAACAAAATCATAGAAACAGGTCGTCGGATTTGGAATTTACCAGATGAGGAGAGCAGGACGAGGGAGTAGGACGAGTGAGAAGGATCAGCGACGAGGAGGACCGGCGAGAAGGACGACCGAGAATGAGGAGCGAGCAATTCCGAAGACGGGCTTAGCAATCCCGTGAGAATTGGGGTTCTCGCCAAGAACTTTTAGCGAAGGGGTTTGTCGGAGCTATTACCGGCTAATCTTATTAAACTTAAACCATGCGAAACAAACACCGGATTACACTTATTAGTAGTCCAGTCCCAATGAAACTTAGTGAGTCCAAACAAAAACACCCTATAAGTTTATTGATGCCTATTTCACAATTTGTAAATTAAATTGGGATAATTGACACTTATTTGTTTTGGCGGAACTCAAATTGGAGACTTTTCTAAGAGCACTGTTGGAAATTTTAATATTATTATTAGTATTATAATTATATTAAATAATTGAGTGGAAATTAGAAGTTGTGTCTTTTGGTAGAAATATGAATCTATCATAATAAAGAGTCGTAATTTTTTACTCTTCATAAATGATCACATGCTTTATAAAGAAGTATCTCAAATCTATATATAGGGAAGCATCCTATAATCATAAAAACAACTTTTCATCATATATATTATAGTGCACTAAAAATTAGATAATCTCATTGAGTCTATATGAGAGCATTTTCAACACAAATGTTTTTCATCGGAGCATTGTAATTTTGAGTGCTACTATTAGAAGGATGTGGCTGTTGTATTCTGAGAGACAAGCGCCAACCAACTATGAGCACCGTAGTGGCGCGTAAACTTGTCTTAAGGACAAGGTGTCCAACACTTGTCTCGACCGTATTTCCAGGTTTTTCTAATCCATTAGTCAAGTTCGTTTAACATTAGTTAATCATGTGCATGCATGACTTTTACGGACGGAGCCATTATAGGCTTAGAGGGGCGGATGCCCCCACTCAGTTTTTTTGTTTGTTTGTTTGTTTTGTTTTGTTTTTCTCACAAGGATTGTACAGTTTTGCATCCCAATGACCGACCCTAAATAAAATACAATTAAACTCTATATGTTAATTGGTACTATAAGGGAAATGTTAAGGAGACTCTTCTAAAAGTGGGTCTCTCAAGGAACTCTCCATCATTTCATGTTTTTGGCACAATTTCGTATTAACATTATAAAACATTGTGCCAAAAACATAAGGTGACGGAGAATCCATGGAGTGTCCCACTTTGAGAGAGTCCCCTTAGCATTTCTCTTGGTATTAATATGATTGACTTCTCTAACAATGATTCTAAGTGTTTTGTATGAAAAACTTTATGGATTAATATGTAAGTGTTTTGTTTAGTAAATTTTTTTAGCTTTTTAATTGTGACTTTGTTGTTTAAGGATGCCCCCATTCACACAAATCTCTGGCTTCGTCCCTGATTATTTTGATATATAATTGCATGAATTTTTTATTTATTTTCTATGTGATTTAATATGGCAATTATACCCTATTTTCCCAACAATCTTAAGACAAGATTAGGTTTGGTTGCTATAATCTTGTCATCAGTTCCGAATTGCATTACATAATTGGTAATTCATAATTGTTGTTTTGCATGATTGCATACTTGGGTTTTCCATGTTCGTTTTGATTGTTAATTTAGTAAGTGCATGATCACTTTGTAGACAACATGTGTTGTATTCATACATGTATTGTTTCAAAGAGCATGCCAACTATATATGTGTTATTGTTGTGTTTTTACATATGCTTAATGTCGTATAAGGTTCTAAAAGTCGTTAGGCGCTAGTCGGGCGGCAGGCTGGGGTCTAGCGGCTAGGCGGATTTAAGTAAATCAATCATATTTCGTGTAAATAAGTGTGCTTATACTTGAATCTATATAATTTCGTCATAAACTACAAAATAGAATGCATATATATTTTGAAGTATTGGAACATAATGAAAACATGTGAAATAAGGATATAATGTGTGTTCATTTAAGTATGTAACAAGTCTCTTACAATTTATTAGAAAAAAAAACAAAATGCAAAATGAAAGTTATTTATTTTCTGTCTAAGTGAGTTGCGACCTAGGCGAATGTTTAGGCGGGTCTAGGCGGGAGCCTAGGCGGTCTAGGCGGGTCCCTAGGTGGTCTAGGCGGTGCCTTAGTAGGTCTAGGCGCCCTTAGCATTAATCGAGGCGATGGCCAGCCGCCTAACGCCTAAGCAGGGCCTAGGTGGCGCTAGGCGGGGATTTTTAGAACAGTGTACACGAAGTGATTCATAAATTCATATACTATTTGTGAATTTAATTAGGATTTGATTGGGTTCAAATTAAGAGAGAATATTGGAGCATGCATAGCACTTCTTTTGTCTTTTATATAAGTGACAATGATACGTATATAATCTTGTACTAGTTCACAAAAGGTTATTTCCTCACGAGTTTTCACAGGGAAAAGTTATTTGGTGAAGCAAATTTTCGTAATATGATGTTTTCTCCACTTATATTGGTTTTTTGTGTTAGATTAATCACCGGCGAAATTTGAACACAAGCCTTTGTACAAAGGCTCAACTCATTTTCATAACTGTGGTAAATGATCACTTGCCTCTACTTGCATTAGTTGAAAAGTTTATAATTCTCGTGAAAGAATATGAGATGTGATATTTTTTTTTTAAAAGAATTAACGTTTAGTCTGAGAAAATTAATTATATTTTTATGCAACCCTCACGAAGTTATAATTTCTGCAAACCTCATGAAGAGTTGCGACCCTTCATGAAAAGGTGATATCCAAACAAAGAAGAAAACGGTTTCTATATGGAAAGTAACACTATTCCTTGCCTGGAAATGGCAAGCCCTGCACAATGCTTAGTTTTCTGCATGCAAATATAGATACTTTCATTTCATGGAAGCAAATGGCCGAGTCATCATGGGTTTGGTTGGAGGATGGAAACACTCGGTTTGTTTAGTATCTATTGGTGAAAGATGGCTTGAAATATATATATATATATATATATATATATATATATATATATATTTCATAAATTAGACAAAATTTGAATACAATATGTGGTTTCCTATTTCTAAGTATGGTGAAATAGTATGTAATGGTATTAAAACAAACACAATGTGAGTAAATTGTGGGGGAGTGACATAGTTAATTTGAGATTATATGTTAACAATAAAAGTAATTTGCTTCTAGAATGAGATAAAGATTATCTTTTACAATTGTGATTTTAAGATATTGAAAGATTAGAGATCTTTTGGCAAATACCTTAAAGGTGAGGGAGTTTACCAAAGCGTTAGTAAACTACTTGGCAATTAGGTCCGGATATATGTTTGGAGGACTTAACGTCAGAAAACAACTACTCATAAACAAAATTAATTTTCATGCATGGATGAAATTTGTGATGGTCATACATAAAAGAGATAGTCAGCCTAGTGGATCCACTTATTAAGGTTTGACTAGAGAGTAAGTTGTATCATCGAGGGGAATGAGTTAAAAGGCCGCAATATAGTAGTCACAGTGGAAACCCAACCTAGTTGACTGGAGATCCCAAGATCTAAGTTCAAAAAGACAACTAAATTATACAAATCAAAGTAGCATTACGGAGATATATTCTCGTTCCACCCATGCAAGACGAGTTGGAGTATCGCTTGGACAACCTCTATAAACTTGCTCGAGTGGCTAAATAGGTTGGAATTCTAATAACCTTTCCACTCGATTCTCGTTATTTTTTACTTGAATTTTCTCATTTATCCTTTTAACTTTCTTCTTACTCATGCTTGATGATCAAAACTAGGTAATTTTTAGATCACTCTGTAACTTTGCAAAATCAACAAAATTAGAAATGATTTAAATGTCAGTTCACATTGTCGATATTTTAATTCGTTAAGTGAAGAACATGGTTTGTCTATTTTATAAATAACCATTAGATGACTAAATAATTTTCAATTGAGTTATGTTTTTTTTTTTATAAAGATGATCATTAAGAGTAACTTAAAAATACCAAAGTGGATGATTAACTCCGGGAGGTCATATCATGGAAGTTAGAAGGAGCTCCTCCAGACAAGGGTGCAAACACTGGAGATTAAATACATAAAACTATCACCATTTTTGTTCAGTAAGATTCCAACTTCTAATGGTTTTTCTTGGTGGGCTGAAATGACGTCCTAGCCTAGGCCCCTTCCTCTTTGGCCCGTACCATATTTTTTACAACAAGCACCAACGTCGTAGGCTCATTTCCGCCCATTCCCCACCTAGCCCTCCTCCATAGCACCTGCTTCATCGTCATCTCGTCCACCCCTATCTCCCAAACCAGCTCCGCCCTTTACGGCCATATTTGAATATGGTCTTCTTCTTAACCTTTTTTTGAGATCCAACTATTTAATTGCAATAATTGATTGAAATTCAACGATTAGATTTGAATATATCCAAAGGTAGTTTAATTAAATTAACCATAAATTTAAAGTATAAAAATAAAACTAATAAATTATTGAGCAGCCATGTTTAGCGCCTTCGGTTGGGTGAAGATGGTATATGAGTATAGCCTAATACTGTTTATTTAAAAATAATATTTTACAGGACTATAAATTTTGTCAGGACTATATCTAGCATTTTCGGTTAAAAATAGGCTTAGGTTTCTATGGTGGGTACTTGGAGAGTAATATCTTATTCTTTGGGCCCTTTATAATAAGCTCAATAGGCCCCCCAATTCTGTCAAAACCCCAACTCAAAGCCCTATAAGTTTATTGATACCCTATTTCATAATTTGTAAATTAAATTGGGATAATTGACACTTTTTTATTTTGGCGGAACTCAAATTGGAGACTTTTCTAAGAGCGTTGTTTGAAATTTTATTATTATTATTATTATTATTATTATTATTATAATATTAAATAATTGAGTGGAAATTAGAAGTGATATCTTTTGGTAGAAATATGCGTCTATTATAATGAAGAGTCGCAACTTTTGACTCTTTATGAATGCTCACATGCTTTGTAAAGAAGTATCTCAAATCTATAAATAGGGAAGCCTCCTACAATCATAAAAACAACTTTTCATCAAATATATTCATATTCATACATATATTCATACATATAGTGCACTAAAAATTAGATAATCTCATTGAGTCTATATGAGAGCCTTTTCAACACAATTGTGCTTCATTGGAGCCTTGTAATTTGGAGTGCTACTATTACAAGGACGTGGGCGTTGTACCCTGGGGGGACAAGCGCCAACTAACCATGAGCATCGTAGTGGGGCGTAAACTTGTCTTAAAGACAAAGTGTCCA